ACGGTACAGGGGATGACCAGAGACTGCGGGCACGGTACAGGGGATGACCAGAGACTGCGGGCACGGTACAGGAGATGACTGCTGACCTTTGGGGGGGGGGGGGGGGGAGCGGGTACTTGAATTTGACAGGTACCCGCTCTTACTTCCACGGAGTTGTCCTTTGATCTTACCTGTTCCTCTATCCAGCGGCTCGCTGTCTTCCCGGCTTCTGTAGTGTGGGCGCTCGGCATGACAGCCGGGTGCCCAGTGCGCATGAGCGAGAAGCGCTGCGCTTTGTGATTGGTCCGGCGGCTTCTGGGACCTGTCATGTGTCCCAGGTACCGCCTTACCATTCACAAAGAGCACCGCTTCTCGCGCATGCGCACTTGGCACCCGGCTGTCATGCCGAGCGCTCACACTACAGAAGCCGGGTAGACAGCGCGCAGCTGGATAGAGGAACAGGTAAGGTCCCGCTGCAGAGCTGAGCGGCCGGCCCGGTATTCTGACGCGGCGGTGGTGGAAATACCGGACCGGCCGCTCCATATTCGCTCCATAAGATGCACTGATATTTTCCCCCTTTTTTGGGGGGAAAAAAGTGCATCTTATGGAGCGAAAAATACGGTATTTTAGATCTATAATTTGTGCCATTAAAAGTGTAATGGCAAAATTACTTTTTTTTGTTTTTTCTTTTCTTTTTTGTGTTGTGGAGGGGGATTAGAACCCCTGTCAGATAAACAATACCCAAGCTCGACTGCAAGTTCAGCTTCTAATGGCTGAGGACTGGTACTCAGATGATCAGATCCGTAATAAATTCAAACCGGCAACTTGGTGTCTATAAAATCCAAATCTTTTTTGACTACATTTTAAAACACACTGGTAGCAATCTGTGTTTTGGCGGTCATAGCTGAAACGCAATAGATAGTTACCAGCGTGTTTAAGTATGTAGCCAATAATGATTCTGATATTCTAGACTTCACTGAGTTGCCAGCATGAATTTACAGCACAGAGCTTAGCTTGGCCCTGTCACCCCGCTCCCTTCTCACTGGCTGTGATTGACAGCAGCAGGGGCCAATGGCTTCTGCTGTTGCCTCAGTCTATGAGGAGGGAGAGACACTGCTCTCATGCACATCGCTGGACTGAGATTGAGCTCAGGTATGTATGGGGGGGGGGGGGGGGAATGCATTAAGGTTTGGTGTTTTTTTTTAGGTTTTTTTTTGTTTGTTTTTTTTTTGTTTAACATTAACCTCCCCAGCGGTCTAACATCAATACTTTTGAATGTCAAAGCTGTACATTGTTTTGCGTGGAAATTTGTTGTTTTATATTGTAGGTCTGTAATTCTTAGGAATGACTCACTTAAATCTGTCCAAACGAGAGTTTAGTAAACATCCCGGGTATGATAAAGTTTGAAACGCGAAATTGTAAATTATAATATAATAAATAATTGTAAAAAAAAATAATAATTTAATTCAATAATATAATCAAACCAAAAATACTGAAATGTGAAATATAGCGCCAAGTTCGCACATCGCTGAGCAAAGTCGCAGAATCGTTTTCAGTGTCTGATGAGGAATTTCCCCCACGAATCATTATCACTCAATTCTGCAAGTGGTTCTGATTTACTATCGCTGTTCTCTGTTCGGTCTAAAACTGATCTGGACCTAAAGGGACGCTTTTTGGATGCCATGGACGTTTCTCAGTTTCCAGGCAGAAAGAACAGTAAAAATGCAGGCAGGGCGCAGAGGACAAAGCACTCGGGACAAAATGTATGTGAAATGGTTTGATACAGTGATGTTATACTAAGAGATTACAATGTATTGTGTGTCAAATTTTTACTTTTTTGAATCTCCCACCGGTTCCGCCCCCCCGTACGTCCCGAAGCTCGCAGGACACGCAACCCGGAAGACGGATGCCGGTATCGGCGGCGGACATGGCCGGAGGACACAGCGGGAGGACCTCGCGGGATCGCAGGACAAGGTAAGGCTCGAGGGATCGCTGCAGTGTAATCCCGAGTGTTGCTCGGGGTTACCGCTTTTGGTACTGAAATGAACCCCGAGTCACACTCGGGAATACCACCAGGATGGTTAATGCAGAGAATGACCGCTACAGTGTGGTCATCCAATTCTGTGACTGCTTCTTCCCAGAACCCTGTGCCCCCTTGGCACACATCGGGTTCACACTGTCCTTCAGACACAGCTGATCACAGATCGTGGTCAAGAGCTAGTCACAGTGGCCCTTTACCTTGTGATCAACTGTGTCCAATCACATTGTATTTAGGATTTGTTGGTTATTGGCACTTCTCTCCTTATGCTGAAAGTGCATGAGGAGAGTAGAGCAGGTAAGCGACAATCCACACAGGGGACATCTACATTGATAATCTGGGCACTGATCATCAGTGCTGCCAATCAGTGAAGAAGAAAAATTACTTATTTACACAATTTGATAACAGAAACTAAGGACTTTTTTTTTTTTTTGTTTAGCTAAAAAAAAAAAAAAAAAGTAGTGATTAAATACCACCAAAAGCTAGCACATTCTCTCATTCATTTTCTCGGTCTCAGTCTCTATCGATCGATCTCTCTCTAAAAATGTAATTGGGGTACAGTGTTGCTTAACCGCGCAGTTGTCTTTTCAAAGCGTAACAGCGCTGAAAATTGGCCTGGGCAGGAAGGGGTGAAAGTACCCAGCAGTCAAGTAGTTGGGGGAAAAAAAAAAAACCCTTCAGACTTTAGAATTACTTTAAGGGGAGGAAGGGGTTTATTAGGGTGGGTAACATTTTACTCTAAAAAAAACAAAAAAAAAAAAAAAAACTTCTAGGTTGTCATGAGGATCAAAGGTCACATCTTTGATCTACATGTGAATAAAATGGTAGATACAATATAATGATACATTGTTGGATTGTAGTTACTGAGTGATACCTGTAGACCACAGGTATTAAACTGGTGGCCCTCCAGCTGTTTGCCGAACTACAAGTCCCATGAGGCATTGCAAGTTTGGCTGTTACAAGCATGACTCTGAAAGGCAGAGGCATGATGGGACTTGTAGTTTCCCAACAGCTGGAGAGTCACCAGTTTGACACCCCTGCTGTAGACTATCTGCACAGGCCTGGCTGCATTCTGACAGCTACTCCTGCTGTGTTATGCAAAGCAATTACCATCTCTCATTTTGACAGGCGGTAATGGCAGCAGCGGGAGGAGAGTAGATGGATGTAAGGGCTTGTTCACACTTGACTGCATTTCTAACTCTTCAAAAATGCCCCTATAGCGTTAGGTGTTAATAAGCTTTAGTATGGGTGTTTGCTCTTTAAACACCCTATGCGCGGTTTTGAGGCATTTTATAAGCATTTCGCAAGCGTTACACTGCACCACAAATGCCTATAATAAACTTTAATGGTATTAATGCGGTTACAGCCGCACTGTAAATGCCTGCCAGGGCGTTTGAGGAGCGTCACCGTAGATTTGAATGGGAGGCATTGAAAGGCTTCAAACTCCTCCTGACTCTACACAAGGCTTCAATTTTGAAGCAACACTAACGCACAATGTGAACAGCACTCTGTGCTGCCCATAGTATCATTTGCATAAGCGTTTGAGGAGCGCTTCAATCGCCTGCTTTCAAAGCCAGTGTGGACTAGGCCTAAGAGAAGTGTCCTGAAAACTGTGAAGGGTCATGAAGGTAGGCTTACAGCACTGAACAGAAGGAAGGAAAGAGACACCCCGCCGGCATGAGAGAGAAGGAGCAGCAGCGTCGTATAGCGATTCCAGTAGCGATTCAAGATGGACACTGCTTATACCTGCTCAGAGAGTCGAAGTATTGGAAATGGCTTCAGACCAGGGGCAGACTGACCAATTGGGAACTCGGGCACTGCCCGAGGGCCTGTGGTCAGTAGGGGGCCCCATGAGATGCCCCTGGTACCTTTTTTTGTAAGCTTTTTTTGAGTTTTGGCAAGGACACACGGGCCCCATGATCCCCTATTGCCCAGGGCCCCATGAGTTGTCAGTCCGCCCCTGCCTCAGACGCTGCTTCAGTCACACATCCAGTGACGCGTTTCACCCTGCCATCTGGGGCTTGATCTCAGAGGGTGTGATTGGAGCTGTGGCTGAGGCCATTTCCAATACATCTGACTCTCTGGGCAGGTATGAGCAGCGTCCATCCTTCTTATATACTAAAAACTGTGACGTGGGTTTTTTTTATGTTTCTCTTATGTTTCTCTTATGTTTAAAACCCTCATTTGGTAAAACCACCTCCTGGCTTTTCATTCTGTGCATACATGAGGACTGCATCAGTGTTTCACAGCACATGTGGCTCTCTAATTTTTATTAGAACTACAAGTCCCAGCATGCTGGTCTGAACTGTGCATCTGGAGGTGTGTGGGGGGAGGGAGCGCTAAGACGCATCTACCCTGTGTGCGTTTGGGGATGGACCATCAGCAATGGGGGTTATAGAAGGTCCATGTGGAGGTGGTGCCCAAGTCCATCTGTAGTGGGGGGCTTGTAGTAGTATGGACTTGTACAAGGAGGCAGCTGGCTGTAAGAGTTTGTAGATACTCCTAATGAAGGCAGAGAAGAGAGGCGGCAGCGCCACTTTAAGTGTAGACTGTTAAAATCCGGCAGATTTCATGGTAGAATTGCATGCTCACTCCTTCATCAGCCTGATGGAGTGAGCATGCTCCGAACGCGCGCCATCTTGGAAACTCGGTCCATGAGGTGACATCATCCCTGCGCCCCTCTGCTACTCCCTGAGCCCTGGACACCACCGGAGTGGCGGGAAAACACCCAGAGCACGGCCAAAGGACCCGATGCTCCCAATGGACCTCCATTACTTGACCTGCCTATCTGTTACCTAGCTAAGTGCGATTTTACCATGAAATCTGCCTGATTTTAACCATCTACGCTTAGAGTGGCGCTGCCGTCTCTTCTCTACCTGAACTGTGCATCTGGATGGTGAAAATGAAGTAGTATAATGGAAGTAGTGAATTGTTATTGATTTGTTTTTTTTTTTTTTTTTTGTTTCCTCTTATGTCCTTCTAGTGGAAAATTGACGACAAGCCAGTAAAAATTGACAAATGGGACGGATCTGCAGTTAAAAACTCCTTGGATGATGCAGCCAAAAAGGTAATCCAGCTATTAAAAGAATCGTTATAAAGATTCAGCAAATGAACGTTTTATTCCCAGGACTGCATGAAGGACAAGGGAACAAATGAGAGGCTATTTTTACCTTTCTGTATAGGGTGGGGGAGGGGGTCCTTTTACAGTAAGGATTCTTTCAGACGGACGTATAACAATTATGTAGGATCCCGCAGCCAGTATGTTCCCGTATAAAAAACGTGCCCCTCCGCTGTGTGAATGTATAGTGTGTGCTGCATAATTCAGCTCTATTGGCCGCTGATCAGGGCTGACCTGTCAACAATGTGCCTGCGCTACTGACTACACCGTATTGGCGATGACACGTCTGTCCTGAATGAGGCATTCATGCAGCTGCCCCATGTGCACAATGATTTTGGCTGTCTTCCATGATAACTGAAGGCTGGTCATTCTGCACATGTGCCTCCGCCACCTAAAACGACTCATTTTTGGAGCAGACATTGAAATATTACTAGAGTGTCATCAGCAGAGCAACTAAATACGCATTGTGGACATTTCCATGCCCTGAGCAGTGGCAGTAGTCAATTGGGTCTGTGTACAGTGGACACGGGCAAACGTCACCACGTTATGTACACCTACACTTCCTCTTCCTTCCTCTTTCTTCTTCCTCTTCTCAAAGATCCGCACTTCTATCTTCCTCTTTCTTCTTCTTCCTCTTCCTTCTTCATCTATCCTTCGGTTCCTCTTCCTTCAAAATCTTCTTCTCTACCAACCTTCCATTCTTCTTCCTCTTCCTTCTTCTTTCCTCTTTCCCACTCTTCCTTCTTTCTTTCCTCCTTCTCCCTTTCTTCTTTCCTCTTCCTTCTTCATTCCTCTATCCTGTCACTTCTTCGCTCTTCCCCTTCTTCTTTCCTCTTCCTTCCTTCCTCTTCCTTCCTCTTTCCTCTTCCTCTTCCTTCTTCTTTCTTCTTCCTGTTTTCCTCTTTCTTCTTCTTTCCTCTTTCCTCTATCTTCTTCTTTCCTCTTTCCTCTTTCCTTCTTTCCTCTTCCTTCTTCCTTCTTCCTTCTTTCCTCTTCCTTCTTTCTTCTTGTCCTCTTACCCTTCTTTCTTCCTTTCCTCTTCCTTCTTTCTTCTTTCCCTCTTCCTTCTTTCTTCTTTCCTCTTCCTTCTTTCATACCTTTCCTCTTGGCCATTCTTTCTTCTTTCCAGCCTTCCTTTCTTTCTTCTATCCTCTTCTTTCCTCTCCTACTTCCTCTTCTTTCCTCCCTCCCCCTCTCCTTCCCTTCCTTTCCTTCCTTCCATCCCCCCTTCCTTCCTTTCGCGTCCTTCCTTCCTTCCTTCCTTTCCTTCCCCCTTCCTTCCCTCTTCCTTCCTTTCTAATCCTTCCTTCTTCCTTCCTTCCTACGCTTCCTCCTTATTCTTCATATTTCCCCCCTTCCTTCCTTCCCTCTTCCTATCCTTCCTTTCCTTCCCTCTTCCTTCTTCCATTCCTTCCTTCCCTCTTCACTTCCATCCTTCCTTCCTTCCCTCTTCCTTCCATCTTCCTTCCTTCCCTCTTTCCTTCCTTCCTTCCTTCCTTCCCTTCTTCCTTCCTTCCTTCCCTCTTCCCTTTCTTCCTTCCTTCCTTCCCTCTTACCTTCCTTTCCTTCCTTCCCCTTTTCCTTCCTTCTTTTTCCTTCCCTTTTTCCTTCTTCCTTCCTTCTCTTCATCTTTTTCCTTTTTTACTCTTCTTCCTTCCTTCCTTCCCTCATTTCCTTCCTTATCCCTCTAAAATTCCTCCTTTTCCCTCATTCCTTTCCTTCCTTCCTTCCTTCCCTGGCTTCCTTTTTCCTTCCCTTCCTTCCCTCTTCCCTTCCTTCCTTCCTTCCCTTCTTCCTTCCAATTCCTTCCTTCCCTCTTCCTTCCTTCCTTCCTTCCCTCTTCTTCTTCCTTCCTTCCTTCCTTCCTTCCTTCGCTTCCTCCTTTTCCTTGCCATAATCTTCCCTTCCTTCCTTCCTTCCTGAACCCCCTTCCTTCCTTCCCCCGATCAACCTTGTTCCTTCCGGTCCTTCATTCCCCCACTTCCTTCCCTCTTCCTTAAAACCACTTCCTTCGGCTTCCCCTTGTTTTAACTACTTGCACTTCCTCTCCTCTTTCTTGTAGCCTCTTCCGTGGGCTTCCTTGCCTCTTCCTTCCCCCTTCCTTCCTGACTGAAAAAATGTTTCTTCTTCCTTCCTTCTTTTTCCTGTCTTCCTTTCCTCTTCCGTCCTTCCTTCCCCCTCTTCCTTCCTTCCTTCCTTCCCTCTTCCTTCCTTAACACTCTTCCTTCCCTCTTCCTTCCTTCCTTAACTTCCCTCTATGCCTTCCTTCCTTCCTGTAATCTTCAACTTCCTTCCCTCTTCCTTCCCCCGAAGGGCCCATCCTTCCCCCCGTCCATCAAACGAGTACACTTCCCTCAGTTCCGGTCGCCTTCCTTGTGGGCCGCTGTCCTTCCTTCCTTCCCTCTTCCTTCCTCTCCTGTCCCTCTTCCTTCCTTCCTTCCTTCCTCCTCTGGTCTTCCTTCCTTCCTTCCTCTCTCTTCCTTGGCGGGTTAGCCTTCCTAAACATCCTCTCTCTTGATCCTTCCTTCCTTCCGTCTCTGGTGCGATGCCTTCTTGTCTTCTCGTCTCCCCCCCCCCGTACAAAACTGAACCTATTTGATACCTGCATAAATGAGCCCATTACAGTGGTTGACATGTATGCACACCCAAGATTCGTTTTGCAGTATGTTTGGCATTAACACGATGTCCCTGGTTGCACTGGGAGAAACAGACATAACCTCTTCCTCTGAGGAAGAGGTTATGTCCTCGAAACGCGATAGCCAGTTGGTCATCCAGGGTTCCATCGTATGGACTCAGATGTTGTTTTGGATCATACGTCTTGTTCAGTTTGACATGCCTGTGTTATTATGTCCATTGTGAGTATGATACCTATTTTTGTTTCTTTAATAAATTATTTTAAACGATAATGCACTAGGTCGGTGCGCCCTTTTTCTGTTTCTCCATTTGTATCTAGTGTATTCGGACCACCCTGGTCTGTTGAGGCAGCAAGAAGTGCATATTTCCGGAAAATTCCAGAACATTCCTATTGGGTCTACTGTTGTCACTTTTCCTTTCCTAGCGCAGGAGAAAAGTGTTTGTGTTGTGTTAGCAGAGAAATGTGACAGCAGACAGAGGACAGTTATTAACAATGTGGTGTTTGGTTTTCAGGTCCTCCTGGAGAAATACAAGTATGTTGAAAACTTCTCCCTCATCGATGGCCGCCTCATCATCTGCACCATCTCTTGCCTCTTCGCCATTGTGGCCTTGGTGTGGGATTACTTGCACCCATTCCCCGAATCAAAACCCGTTCTGGCCTTTTGCGTTATATCATATCCTTTTACTGATGGCACCAGCACTAGGGTGGTCTTCTTGCTGCCGTTCACATTTTTACAGGAAAAATACAGGAAAATAAAAAGTGAGCGCTCTTTAGTTAGCAGCTAAGGCACTAAAGGCAACCAATATAAAACCTTGTTAGAAACATAAAAATAAGTGCAGCACTAAAAATGAGTATTATAAATGTCTGTCCATCAATAAATAAAATTTAAATGCCAATAATATAGCAAATAGAAGGTGACAGTGTGCAGATCAATGGCACGGAATCACAGTAAAATCCAGTAGTGGTGCTCCAAATAGTGTGGTAAAATTAAGCACTCACCAGATGCGTAATGTATATACTGAGGAAGAGGCAAGACACCGTGGCGTCACACCGCCGGAGCCACGTGGAGGCCCGCTGGCCATCTTACTTTCTGGATGGTCAGTCCATACTGCAATACCTGACTCTACTTGTTTTTAATTATTCAGAATTTGCAAAATTTGTTTTTATAATAAATATTTATTCACCTACTACACTATGGGCATTCTTTATGGTCTCCTGTGAGGAGCTATTTATTTGTAGAGCCCACCTGATCCAGCCATCTGAAGTATCCAGAGAAGGGAGTTCCTGTAAGCAGGCATCTACACCCATCCATCCCTTAAAGGGACCTCTGGCCAGCTGGATTTCTTTTATCTTCCGTGAGCTGCTGACAACACCACCTTGCCTAGAGGGAGGATTATCCTTGACCAGGATCAGATCCAACTTCTAAAGGGGACCTCTACTGATTCATTTAATGCATATATACATTACGCATCTGGTGAGTGCGTAATTTTACCACACTATTTGGAGCACTACTACTGGATTTTACTGTGTTTCTGCACCATTGATCTGCATAGACTGTCACCTTCTATTTGCTATATTATTGGCATTTAATTTTATTTATTTATTGATTTTTAGCGTTGCACATGTTTACAGTGTCCACCACTCTCTGGAGGTATAGAATTGACTTCTGTAAGCCTAGGCATTCCCCTAGTTCAGGACATGTGCTTTAGAGTGGGAATCAATTTGGAGTTAAGCCCCGCCCCTGCAGAGCTATCATTGCTGGCAGAGACATTTTACCATGGATTGGTAAAATAGGGCTTAGCACCACATAGAGACTGTGTATTGCATGCACTGGGACTACAGAGTCATTATGGGCAGAGGTGAATCGGAGCATTTTTAGGGCTTCCTTAGTCCTAGGTGTGTAGTATAGTGCGGGCAGCAATTTGGAGCTAAGCTCAGCCCCTGCAGAGCTACAGTTGCCATCAAAGACATTTTTACCATGGGCTGGTACAATTGGACTTAGCACCATATAGAGGTTCTATGTATTATAAGCACTGGGACTGCAGGGTCATTCCTGCAGCCATTGAGAAATACTGAGTGAGCTGTGATTGGTCACAGCTTGTCACATGGTACAAGGCTGCTGTGAATAGCCTTGTACCATGTGACCTCTGTGATCATTCACAGATTTCACACGTAGTAAGCCATGATGTCGGAAGTCACACCTTTCTTACTACTCTAATGTGATCACTGATTGGCCAATCGGTGATCACATGATCGGGACCTCGCACAGAGGTCCCGTACAACGATCGGTGTTCCACTGTGTCTGGCTGTTGTGAATAGCCCTGTACCATGTGACCTCTGTGATCATTCACAGATTTCACAAGTAGTAAGCGGTGATGTCAGGAAGTCACATCTTGTTTACTACTGTTCATGTGATCACTGATTGGCCAAGAGAGGTCCCGTACAGCGATCGGTGTGCACCGGATCACTGTGCCACGCTCTCCCAGGGAGCGAGCACAGGCAGTGAATGCGGAGGCCGTTTATAAATGGCCACCCGCTCCTTCACTGCTCCCGTCCAGCCGTTTATGTACATGGGCCGGTCAGGAAGTGGTTAGACTTTATAGAGATTTATTTATTGTTTCTCATGCATATGATTTCACCTTTTACCATTTATGGTGGGTTAGGATGTTTTGTTTTATATGAGCAGCGTAACTCTTGTATTAATTATGTTTTATTGTCCTTTTTTTTTTTGTTTGTTTTTTTATGTAATGAACACACATGATTAGTGTCTGCAGCAGTTCTGGCACTGGACACGTCTGATATTTAGACAAGTGGCAGCACACAATCCACGTTCATTATTTTCCATATTAATGACGACATAACTACATCTAAACCTGAAAACTAAAATGTATTCCATTGCTTAACAGGCCTTTAATGTGGGGGTTGTTAGTTTTAATTTTTTATTTTTTCTATCATTTATTTTTAGGTGATTATAAACCTTCAATTATTATTTTTTTTTTTAAAAAACAAACCTGTTATACTTGCTCTGTCAATGGTTTTGTACAGAGTAGCCCCTTCTCGGGTCCCCCGCCGGTGCCCCTGGCTCCTCCCCTTGCTGCGTTCCCCCAAAGCAAGCTGTTTGCTACCGGGGCACTCCTATTGGCTCCACCCCAAAGCAGGCTGTGTGTGTCCATTGAAACACACATAGTGTGGCTCGGCAAGGCCCCTCCCCACTGGCCGTGATTGACGACAACAGGCGCCAAAGGCAATGCGTGGAGAGAGAGTCAAGAGAGATCTGGCTCAGGTAAGTATAAGGGGGGACCACAGGTGGTTTTTTTACCTTTTTAATGCATAGAATTCATTAAAGTGTTAACAAACCCTCAACAATAAAATCAGTCTGTATATGCAGTAAAGCGTGCTTGTTATACTCACTGGAACCTAAGGGGTTAATCCTCAAAGGTCCACGTCTTATTTCCTAATAAGACAGACTGAACCCGTAGCCACATGCTCAGTTTTAGTGTGTATTGCTAGAGGTGGGTTTTTTTTTTTGTTTTTTTTTTCTCTTGGGAGAGTGCATGTGATCAGCACAGGGCCAATTGGCACTGTCCAGACAGAGGTCAGGGGTCCTGCATCCTAATAGAGCAGAAAGAAAACTCCTCCTACAAGCTTTAACCAGTGCTCTGCTGGACAATGATAGAAGTCACAAGACTTCTCTAACTGCTGATGAGAAAAGGTATTTAGCAGTTTATATTTACTAAAATAATTGCATTTCCATGTTCTGTACATTCACTATAACTAGTCTCCCACAACACAGAGTCCGGGGAGAGCGGAGTTGGTGAATGCAGGGTCCAGGAAGACCGGGTATAGTGAATGCGGGGTCCGGGGAGATCAGATATAGTGAATGTGGGGTCCTGGGAGACCAGATATAGTGAATGTGGGGTCCTGGGAGACCAGATATAGTGAATGCGGGGTCCTGGGAGACCAGATATAGTGAATGCGGGGTCCTGGGAGACCAGATATAGTGAATGCGGGGTCCTGGGAGATCAGATATAATGAATGCAGGGTCCTGGGAGACCAGATATAGTGAATGCAGGGTCCTAGGAGATCAGATTTAGTGAATGCGGGGTCCTGGGAGACCAGATATAGTGAATGCGGGGTCCTGGGAGATCAGATTTAGTGAATGCAGGGTCCTGGGAGATCAGATATGAGAATGCAGGGTCCTGGGAGACCAGATATAGTGAATGCAGGGTCCTGGGAGACCAGATATAGAGAATGCAGGGTCCTGGGAGACCAGATATAGAGAATGCAGGGTCCTGGGAGACCAGATATAGAGAATGCAGGGTCCGGGGGGGGAGAGCGGATATAGTGAATGCGGGCTCCGGGGCAGAGCGGATATAGTGAATGCAGGGTCCGGGGCAGAGCGAATATAGTGAATGGGGCTCCGGGGCAGAGCGGATATAGTGAATGGGGGGTCCGGGGCAGAGCGGATATAGTGAATGGGGGGGTCCGGGGCAGAGCGGATATAGTGAATGGGGGGGTCCGGGGCAGAGCGGATATAGTGAATGGGGGGGTCCGGGGCAGAGCGGATATAGTGAATGGGGGGTCCGGGGCAGAGCGGATACAGTGAATGGGGGGTCCGGGGCAGAGCGGATACAGTGAATGGGGGGTCCGGGGCAGAGCGGATACAGTGAATGGGGGGTCCGGGGCAGAGCGGATACAGTGAATGGGGGGTCCGGGGCAGAGCGGATACAGTGAATGGGGGGTCCGGGGCAGAGCGGATACAGTGAATGGGGGGTCCGGGGCAGAGCGGATACAGTGAATGGGGGGTCCGGGGCAGAGCGGATACAGTGAATGGGGGGTCCGGGGCAGAGCGGATACAGTGAATGGGGGGTCCGGGGCAGAGCGGATACAGTGAATGGGGGGTCCGGGGCAGAGCGGATACAGTGAATGGGGGTCCGGGGCAGAGCGGATACAGTGAATGGGGGGTCCGGGGCAGAGCGGATACAGTGAATGGGGGGTCCGGGGCAGAGCGGATACAGTGAATGCGGGGTCCGGGGCAGAGCGGATACAGTGAATGGGGGTCCGGGGCAGAGCGGATACAGTGAATGCGGGGTCCGGGGCAGAGCGGATACAGTGAATGCGGGGTCCGGGGCAGAGCGGATACAGTGAATGCGGCGGGGTCCGGGGCAGAGCGGATACAGTGAATGGGGGGGTCCGGGGCAGAGCGGATACAGTGAATGGGGGGTCCGGGGCAGAGCGGATACAGTGAATGGGGGTCCGGGGCAGAGCGGATACAGTGAATGCAGAGCGGATACAGTGGGGTCCGGGGCAGAGCGGATACAGTGAATGCGGGATCCGGGGCAGAGCGGATACAGTGAATGCGGGGTCCGGGGCAGAGCGGATACAGTGAATGCGGGGTCCGGGGCAGAGCGGATACATGCGGGGTCCGGGGAAGCGGATACAGTGAATGGGGGGGTCCGGGGCAGAGCGGATACAGTGAATGGGGGGTCCGGGGCAGAGCGGATACAGTGAATGGGGGGGTCCGGGGCAGAGCGGATACAGTGAATGGGGGGGTCCGGGGGCAGAGCGGATACAGTGAATGGGGGGGTCCGGGGCAGAGCGGATATAGTGAATGGGGGGTCCGGGGCAGAGCGGATATAGTGAATGGGGGGGTCCGGGGCAGAGCGGATATAGTGAATGGGGGGGTCCGGGGCAGTGAATGGGGGGTCCGGGGCAGAGCGGATATAGTGAATGGGGGGTCCGGGGCAGAGCGGATATAGTGAATGGGGGGTCCGGGGCAGAGCGGATATAGTGAATGGGGGGTCCGGGGCAGAGCGGATATAGTGAATGGGGGGTCCGGGGCAGAGCGGATATAGTGAATGGGGGGTCCGGGGCAGAGCGGATATAGTGAATGGGGGGGGTCCGGGGCGGATATAGTGATGGGGGGTCCGGGGCAGAGCGGATAGTGAATGGGGGGTCCGGGGCAGAGCGGATATAGTGAATGGGGGGTCCGGGGCAGAGCGGATATAGTGAATGGGGGGTCCGGGGCAGAGCGGATATAGTGAATGGGGGGTCCGGGGCAGAGCGGATATAGTGAATGGGGGGGTCCGGGGCAGAGCGGATATAGTGAATGGGGGGTCCGGGGCAGAGCGGATATAGTGAATGCGGGGTCCGGGGCAGAGCGGATATAGTGAATGCGGGGGTCCTGGGAGACTGGATATAGGGAATGCGGGGTCCGGGGAGAGCGGATATAGGGAATGCGGGGTCCGGGGAGAGCGGATATAGTGAATGCGGGGTCTGGGGAGGTCGGGTATAGTGAATGCGGGGTCCTGGGAGAGCGGATATAGCGCCCCATCTCTTCCAACAGGGGGGAAGGTGTTCTGTAGTCCAGTATAACTGCAGTGCAGCACAGGCGTTTTTTTTGGCAGGATCAGTGAGTTTTTTTTTTTTTTTTTTGCAGTTCTTGAACATATATAATGCATTCAATATATATATACATAAAGTGTATGTATAACCAAAATGTATTTTTCTACTCTTGGATAGAGAATGGAAGGGTTAAGGCCCCTATAAAGGTTACATCTTGCTGTCTGTGTCCTGCCTGCTGGGGAGATTTCCCTTCAATGCACATCTTGGAGATTAAATCTCCCCAAAGTTAGATAGATCCCCATCTTGGAAGATTTACCCCCTCACCTCTTGCTCTCATGGAAATTCTGAAATGCAAGATTTCTACTTACTTTCTGTCTCGGTTGCTGTGCTCCCCGAGACAAAATAAAAAAGGGTGAATCTCCTCATCGGGGACACAGACTGCAATAAAAACGTGACTGAGGTTTTGCCTTTTATATACCCTCTAACAGGCCAAAAGCGGCCAAATAAGAGATGTTCGATGTCCAAGGTTACCCTTTTTAGGCTTTTCCCTTAACCTGTGTTCACCTATTTCCTGATGATGGGGGTCCTCACCATTTATACCTCATACAAAGAGAAGAGCATTTTCCTTGTGGCCCACAGAAAGGATCCCACTGGGATGGACCCCGATGACATCTGGCACCTCTCGTCCAGTCTCAAACGGTAATGTCACATTTATATGACCTCTGCTCGTGTATATCCACTGGAGCAGGGAACATTAGAGATGCAGCTCCACCATTACAGTTGGCCAAATGCCAGGTCACCAACGATTAGAAAACATTATAGATGGTGTCCAGATTTTTTTCTTAGCTGCTTGGCCTGATCTGTTCCTGAATGATCCTGTTGGCCCCGTATGCCATGGCAGAGCCCTGTTTTTGCATGTTCTGTAACTTTCCTTCAGGGGCCCCTCCACTAACCGCACAAAAGTCTCCTCTTTTCAGTAAGCCACAGTTGCCACATTTAGGCATTTTCATAATGTTTACTTTCCCCGAGGCCACCAGTTCCTTCATGTGGTTTATTTCCATCTTTAAGATTCGCTGACCTGGACAAAACACGGGGGGGGGGGGGATGTGCATGTATTGCGGAGATGTACTGCGTATGTTTAACCCCTTGATGCCGACGTAACACAAATATGCGGCCTCGCAGAACTGGCCTTTTTTTTCCGTGGGGCCGCATATTTGCGCACCTGTCTTTCTGCTGGGAGCGTGCCGCACGGTGCGCTCCCAGCACAAAGACCGCGGTGTCATTGAGAGCCCCAGGTTCCATTCTAATGATCGGGGCTCCCGATTCCGAGTCACATGATTGCTGTGATCGCCTCTGATTGGTTATCAAAGTGATCAGTCACTGTACAACCCGGCCCCCTTGTTTTTTTTTTTTGTTGTGTTTTTTTTGTTTTTTTCAGCAAATATACTGTATACAGTTGTGTTCAAAATAATAGCAGTGTGTTGAAAAAAGTGAATAAAGCTGAAAATCCTTCTAATAGCTTTTATTTCCATACACACAAATGCATTGGGAACACGACACATTCTATTCCAAATCAAAACATGAAGAAAAATACATCAAATTTTGTGTTGTTCCTCTAAAATAATTGAAGAAAAGTGAATATTAGACGGTTCAAAAAAATCGCAGTGTTTGTATTCTTCTTTACAAACTCAAACATTCACTATATAAACTGAAAAATGTTTGAAGATTTTGCTTTCCTTTGAATGACTTCATGAATATTTGGTTGTAGTCGCACTGTTTCTGAGAACTGCTGTACATCTGTGTTGCATGGAGTCAGCCAACTTCTGGCCCCTGTGATCAGGTATTCCAGCCCAGGATGATTGGAGGACATTCCACAGTTCTTCTCTATTTCTTGGTTTTGCCTCAGAAACTGCATTTTTGATGTCACCCCACAAGTTTTCTATTGGATTAAGATCCGGGGATTGGGCTGGCCACTCCATAACGTCCATCTTGTTGGTCTGGAACCAAGATGTTGCACGTTTACTGGTGTGTTTGGGGTCGTTGTCTTGTTGGAACACCCATTTCAAGGGCATTTCCTCTTCAGCATAAGGCAGCATGACCTCTTCAAGTATTCTGATGTATTCAAACTGATCCATGATCCCTGGTATGCGATAAATAGGCCCACACACCGTAGTATGAGAAACATCCCCATATCATGATCCTTGCACCACCATGCTTCACTGTCTTCACAGTGTACTGTGGCTTGAATTCAGTGTTTGGGGGGGTCGTCTGACAAACTGTCTCCGCCCACTAGACCCAAAAAGAACAATCTTACTTTCATCAGTCCACAAAATGTTGCGCCATTTCTCTTTAGGCCAGTCAATGTGCTCTTTGGCAAATTGTAACCTCTTCAGCACATGTCTTTTTTCCAACAGTGGGACTTTGTGGGGGCTTCTTGCAGATAGCTTGGCTTCATATAGGCGTCTTCTAATTGTAACAGTCCTCACAGGGAACTTTACACCTTCTTTCATCTTCCTGGAGCTGATTGTTGGCTGAGTCCGCGCCATTTTGGCTATTCTTCTATCCATTTGAATGGTAGTTTTTCGCTTTCTTCCACGTCTTTCAGGTTTTGGTTGCCATTTTAAAGCATTTGCGATCATTTCAGCTGAGCAGCCAATCATTTTCTGCACTTCTTTATATGTTTTCCCCTCTCCCAATCAACTTTTTAATCAAGGTACGCTGTTCTTCTGAACAATGTCTGGAACCATCCATTTTCCTCAGAATTTCAGAGAGAAATGCACTGTAACCAGCATGTACAACATTTGCTGCCTTCCTTCCTTAAATAAGGGCAATAATTGCCACCTGTTTTTCAAAGAATGAATGACCTCACTAATAGAACTCCACACTGCTATTATTTTGAACATGCCCCTTTCAGTGAGTGATTCAATGACACAGAATCAGCAGCATGCATGTCATGACTGTTGGGTCTGTTGGATTTCTATTACTCTACTAGTAAATTATTTGCCATGTAGAAATATCATTTCTACCAAAAACAGTGATTGATCCGGTTAGTGATGTCTGACTGCTATTATTTTGAACACAACTGTATGTGTATTTTTTTTTTTTTGCAAAGAAAAAAAAAGACTTTGCTTTTATTGGCGCTTGTAGGCTCTCCTTGCACACTTCCCTCCTCATCCTCCTCTCTGTATTTCCCCCTTTTCAGGTTTGATGACAAGTACACCCTGAAGATCACCTTCATCAGTAGCAAGAGCAAGCAGCAGCGGGACGCCGAGTTCACCAAGTCGATAGCCAAATTCTTCGATGATAACGGCACATTAGTCATGGACATGTTTGAACCCGAGGTCTCCAAACTCCATGACAGTTTGGCTGCTGAGAAGAAAACAAAGTAAAGAGAGAACAGTGGGGGCCTGTCTGTCGAGTTATGCTTATGAGGGATAAAGCAGGAGCGGTATATGAGGAAGGAAAAAAAAAAAAGAATGTTTACCCCTTTCCCCCCTGGCTCGGGGTTCCGTAAAGCCACACATTTTGCTAGCAAAGCTGCCATAGACCGTGGTGTAGGCCCTTCCAGTAGGCCCGGGAGCCAATGACCAAGGTTCTGTTCTGAATTCTCTTACGGCTGCAGCTTTCTCTGTAATCCCGTAGATATTGCAGTTGATATAATACATTCATCACACCATGTCTCCAGAGGATTCGGGATCTCAACATTCCTCCAGTCTCTCCCTTTTGTAGATAAGACTAGAAGAATAGGATTTAGTAAAGAATGAGCCACGTTTTATCCACATGTCTCATCAGTCAGCAACACCCCCAAACCTATCAAACCAATTCCAAAAAGTTTCAGCTGCCCCTTTTCTAGATTACGTCTGAATGGGATTTGTTACCGTGGGGTTACCGGATAGTTTTTGTCTCAGCCACGTGGATAGAGAACGGCAGTTGACTCTGAAATGTACACCGCTGTCAGAATAGCCAGGAGATGCCCCAGGCGCTGCATACCTGAGCCCACCTTAAACCGCTTACACCGCCACTCCCACAATCCTCTGCTCGGCAAATCAGGGAATGGGAAGTGTTTGCCTTTTTTTTTTTTTTTTCATTTCCATCCACTTTCACGGGAAATGCTGCTGCTGGTTTCAGAATGGATTCTATAGGGACATACGTACATGTGAGTCCGTGTATAGTCTTTTCTTTGCAGGCCGTCGTTTTTATAGTTCAGCCATGTTGTTACAAAGTCAGTTCTTGCAGCCTGTTACAGATCATCGGAATATTTTGTCTTGATCATATCTAGAGGTTTCCTTATTAAAGATTCAATATCGCTCCTTACCTCCATTCCCTACAAGCAATGATGTTGGCCACACTCTGATGACATCAGCATTAGTAAACTTTATTGTTCTCGACAATAACACAGGAGGTCCACCCAGACCCTTCTTTCTCAGACGTGGCTCGCCTGGAAAGGGTTTAGTCTAGAGATGCACCGATACCTTCTTTTTTTTTTTTTTTCTATTTCTTTTCTTCTTTTCCTTTTTTTTTCGTTTTTTTTTTTTTTTTTATTTCTTTTCCTTTGTTTTCGTTTTTCTTTTTTTTTTTTTTCTATTTCTTTTCTTTTTTTTTTTTTTTTTTCCTTTTTCTTTTTTTCTATTTCTTTTCTTCTTTTCCTTTTTTTTTTCTCTTTTCTTCTTTTCCTTTTTTTTTTTTCCTTTTTTCTTTTTTTTCTATTTCTTTTCCTTTTTTTACTTTTTCTTTTTTTCTATTTCTTTTCCTTTTTTTACTTTTTCTTTTTTTTCTATCTTTTCCTTTTTTTTCTATTTCTTTTCTTCTTTTCCTTTTTTTTCGTTTTTCCTTTTTTTCTATTGCCAGTACAAGTACCGATACTTTTGGTCCAATACTTGCCGATACCGAGTACTGACACTTTGCGGTGCGATTTGTGCCAATAATGTATGGCCGCAAATTGCACCACAAAGAACATGCGACTTGAACAGGAATGCGATTCCTGTCCAAATTGCCTGCAGTTTTCTTACTACTCCTGTGTAAACCCAGGCTGTCATAGCCTAAGTTCACACAGGAGCGGTGCAGGGAGGTTTCCCGCAGCGGAGACTGGGCGTGTGGGGATGTATACCATGGTGGCAGATGATCCATATCCTCAGTGGTAGGAGAGAGAAAGCATGGTGATTTGAAATCCTCACCATGTTCCCTCCTCTGCTTGCAGGGATGACCGTTCAGGCTAGAGGGCTTTTGATTGGTCAGCACCATCACTTGGATGGTCCTGCACAGGCTAGACGGTATCTGATTAGTCAGCACGGCGCTGACCAATCAAAAACCCTCTAGCTTGAACGGTCATCCCTGCAAGGAGAGGAGAGAAAGCCGCAGGGATGGCAGATGCTCCATATTCTCAGTGATAGGAGAGAGAAAGCATTGGTGATTTGTAATGCCTGCCACGTTTCTCTCTTCTGCTTTCAGGGATGACCGTTCAGGCTAGAGGGCTTTTTGTTTGGTCAGGACCGTCACTTGGATGGTCCTGTACTGGCTAGACGGCACCTGATTATTCAGCACCGTACCAACCAATCAAAAGCTCTCTAGCCCAAGCTGTCATCCCTGTAAGGAGAGGAGAGAAAGCCGTGGGAATTTCAAATACCTGCCTCTTTCTCTACTCTCCTACCACGGAGAATATGGAGCATCTGCCTCCATAGTATACATCCCCACACACACTCTGCTCATAAATGGGATGCCTGCAGGGAAATTTCCTGCACTGCTCCTGTGTGAACTCTGCCTATGACAAGCCTGGGTTCACACAGGAGCAGTAGGGAAACCGCATGCGATTTGGACAGGAATCGCATTCCTATTCAACTCGCATGCTCATTTTGCATCAATACAAATTGCACTGCAAAGTGTCGGTTTTTGGTATCTGCAGCATTGTCACGAGTATTGATACCAGTATGGGCGCATCCCTTGTTTAGTCTTAGACACGGACTAAGCCCTTTCTGGTTGAAACACTTCAAACGGAACTAAACCCATCAATTTAAAGTGAGCCTAAACCCATTGATTTAGGCCTAGTGCGCACTAATGCGTGTTGCGCTCGATGCGTTATTCTGCTGTATTATGCATTTTTGAACACGCCTTTTTAACGTGTTTTTACTTTTTCAATAGGAAAGTAGAGAGTGCGATTTTACACTCTTTGGCACCCGAGGTTCCATCGAAGTAGTACAGGAACCTTTTTTAAATATATATGTTACAATGAAAATGTTTCTGCACTACTTTGATGCGACTTGAGTGCTAGAGAGTTTAAAGTCGCATCAAAGTCGCACTCAGTACTTTTCTATTTGCAAAAAAAAATTAAAAATGCATTAAAAACACACTTACATTTTTGGTGCAGTTCCAGGGGCAGACTGACCATTTGGAAACTCGGGCACTGCCCGAGGGCCCGGGATCAGTAGGGGGTCCCATGAGATGCCCCTGGTACCTTTTTCATAGGCTTTTTTGTCAGTCCGCCCCTGTGCAGTTCCATTGAAGTCTATTGCACCAAAAATGCAATCCGCTGCAGGAAAAAGTGTCCCTGACCATGTCCAAAAACACAGTGGCTGAAAGCGCATAGATGTGAATGTGTCCCATAGGAAACCATGTTAAATGGACTAGTGTGTTTCTGCAAAAAAAAAAAAAACGCATAGATGTGAATCAGTCCTTAACAGTTTAAAAAAAAAATTTTTACATTTCAGCACATTCCAGGAATGCGAATGTCAACATTTGCTGGTGCTTTCCACCAAACTCTCAAATCATCCAATGGCTGTTGTCATATCTGATCACATGTGCAGCAACATGGCAATTGAAGATCAAACAGAGGCCAAGATGGCAGCTTCCTTGGCTGAAAAGGGTATGAGGGTTCAGTTCCGCTTTCAGAGTGAGGAGGTTTTGGGCAGATCTTCTGTGTTCTGGTTTGGAAAATTTTAAATTTTACCAAGCCTGAGGCCTTGTGTAGCCAATCTCTGTGATCCGAGGGCTTGGCACACAGATTCCATGTAGCCAACGCCTGTGCCTACAGCCATGGCCAAACTTTGAGTGGGAGATTTACTAAAACCTGAGAGTGCAAAATCTGATACAGCTGTACATGGTAGCCAATCGGCTTCGAAATTCAACTTGTTTAATTAACCTTTGATTAAAAAAGCTGGAAGCTGATTGGTTTCTATGTAGAGCTGCACCAGATTTTACTCTCTCCAGTTTGAGTAAATAACCCCTCTGACTGTTGGCTTTTTATAGTCCTTCCTTAGTTTCTCCTACTTTGTTTCTTTGCCATCATGTCATCCGAGGATGCACACAGTTTTCCCAGCTGCCTGGTGTGTATACTCGGATCGAGCAACAAAGGAATGTAGAGAGGCTTCATATGAAACTGTAATGCACACTCAAGAGCCAGGAGAGAGACACACACAGCTGTCAGGCCTTAGGTGACCTCTGACCCTGGACACCCAAGCTAATATGACATCTTGCCGAATATGAATCTTTCATGAATAATCCTGTATGGTTCTAATTGAAGGACACATATATTGGTTCTGGTATGTACCAAGTGGTAACTGGTTTTCTTTAACCATACACTTACTCCAGGTCCAGGCAAACTTTTTCTTTTTTTAACTTAGTTTTGGGAAGCATGGCAAAGATTTTACAGCTGTCCAGGGCACCGTTAGAGAGATTCATCATCACTTCCTGTCTCAGAGACTTCTCCTCTCTTCCCGTCTCGGGGCCCCATCCTCTCTTCCCGTCTCGGGGCCCCCATCCTCTCTTCCCGTCTCGGGGCCCCATCCTCTCTTCCCGTCTCGGGGCCCCATCCTCTCTTCCCGTCTCGCGGCCCCATCCTCTCTTCCCGTCTCAGAGAATCATCCTCACTTCCCGTCTCGCGGGCCCATCCTCTCTTCCCGTCTCGCGGGCCCATCCTCTCTTCCCGTCTCGGGGCCCCATCCTCACTTCCCGTCTCAGAGAATCATCCTCACTTCCCGTCTCGCGGCCCCATCCTCTCTTCCCGTCTCAGAGAATCATCCTCACTTCCCGTCTCGCGGGCCCATCCTCTCTTCCCGTCTCGGGGCCCCATCCTCTCTTCCCGTCTCGGGGCCCCATCCTCTCTTCCCGTCTCGGGGCCCCCATCCTCACTTCCCGTCTCGCGGCCCCATCCTCACTTCCCGTCTCGCGGGCCCATCCTCTCTTCCCGTCTCAGAGAATCATCCTCACTTCCCGTCTCGCGGGCCCATCCTCACTTCACATCTCAGAGAATCATCCTCTCTTCCTGTCTCGGAGACAATGACTTTGCCACTCTGGACATAAGGGGGAAGCTTCAACAGGAGTAAGATGTCAGCAATAAGAGGTCATCTTCAGTAGTGCGGGCGGACTAGACCTCCGGTCACTCTTTGCATATTGCCTC